TGTAGGTGGGGCTGTTCCAAACTAAAAAAAGGAAGTACGTGTTCTCTGTATATAATGATTTTTTTTTCTGAAAACAAGTTTGTACGGTTCTATCTTTCACAAAAAATAAACAATTTACGAGTTTTGATGCAGTTAGGGGATCAACAATTTCTTATTCTGCGGGGGACCAAGGAGTTTATCGAAACCAATAAATTGTCCCTGAAAAATCTTGTAAATAATAATGATGCTACAATCTCATTAAAATCAGATCTTAGTTCTCGCTGCCGCTTTGTTTAGCGGTAGCGAGAACTAAGATCTGATTTTTAATGAGATTGAATGATGCTAATGACTGTTAAAAACATCGCCTGCCACAATCCAAGCAGCCCTTTCCCAGAATATCAAATGGTCGGTCTTTTATAAAAACACAACCTGCTGGAAAAAAAGGAATATTACGATTACGGCGTTAAACAACTAAGAAACAAACAAACTCAAGTCATTTGTTATCTAGGGCGGAAAGATATCTGGTGGTTGCAATTTGTGACCTTGCTGATTACATCGTGCCACGTCAGCGTGGATCGGTGCTCACACCATCGCCCATTAGTTATACGGTACAAATCCGATTATTTACAGGCTTTCGCGGTGTAAGTATAATATTGGTAACTATGACGTAGAGCAACATTAAATTATACATTCTTTTTCAGAAAATAGTTAAATAACTCCTTAAACCCAAAGAGACGCATTACAGGGCTAGGTGCCATGAAATACATCAAACTTGTCCACAATGACGTTGCTTATATAACATAACCAGATCTTTTAAAGCATGTCATCCCCAAAGTAGATAAAATTGTGAAATATCCGAATGCCATTTTTCTGTTTTCCCCATTCTCGGGACTACTGCTGTCTACGTTTGAAATGTCTACTTCATTAGTCATAAATTACCCCGATCATAAACAAAAAAAACCGCTACCCTGCAATAATCATATTTCAGACTCTTGATGTATAGGCTGTTATTTTACCACCTGGTGTGTGCACGTCATGAGTATAATGCTGCTGGCATTTTTCACAGAGTCATTGAAACATTCAGGAGAAAAACGTACATCCTCATTGGGAGTTCATGGAATGGTATTCAATGTAGGCATTGACATGAAGAATTTTAATCAGACAGGCCAGATCAACTTACCACATTGAAAAATTGAAGAAAGAAAATCATCACAGGGTATTTTGTATGGAAGCCTTTACGGACCACGTATGTGTGAAAGATCAAGATAAAAACTGAAATTTCAAGATACTTAGTTTCAAGTTTCTAGAATTTCAAGATAGATACGTTGAAATGTCAAGTTTAAATCTTGAAATTTTAACTTAGTATGTAACTTGTGAGGTGAGGTGAAATTGGGTTTAACGTCGCCCCTTAATGCCGAGCGCCAGACAGGGTAACAACAAGTACAATCTTTTAACGTCTTTTTGTATGACGCGGCCCGGGATCGAACCCTGGACCTTCCGCTCTCCGGGCGGACGCTCTACCACAAGACCACGGAGGCGGTCAGTATGTATCTTGAAATTTCAACTAAGTGTGTATCTTTCATAAAGGGCCCTAAAAGGTTTCCATAACTTTCAGTGTGCCTTGAGAGGGGTCTTTTGTTGGGAAAAATCTTGGTTTATGTAGGTCATCATGTGTCAGTGACGTCAGAAATTATGACAACCACGGCTTTTTTGTTGATGAAGAGGGTCTGGTGACACGTATTTGATAGGAGCACAAAGACGATCATTTTATACGCTTCATAGCATCATAATTGATTTAACTGCGGTGATTATAGGCCGTGGATGGACGTATATAGTTGAGAGTATTAAATATCGCGTTGAAGTATTATCCTGATGCTGCAAGGTAGCTATTATCAAATTCTTTCAAGGAAGGTATAGAACGTTATTTGATTGCTCTTTGGACGCTAGAGCAGTTTGATCTTACTGAAGAGTTGAATTTCCAGTTTTATAGGATGGTTACACACAATTAATTTCCTTAAACCGATGCCATATTTGGGTTTGGAACGAGAAACTAGACATTCCTTTCTCAGACTTACTGAATGAATATGATGTTACGCTGTTTTGAGCTGTAGTGCAGCAATATCACGGTAGGGGACACCAAGGACGGGTCTGATCTATGCAATTCGGATACGATCAACAAAGTCAGCGATGCCGACCACCCGGCATCGTTCGAGAATGGGTTGCTGAAGAGCAATCTATGATTATTTACAGACAATGATATCAAGTTCGGACCAAAGGCGTGACGAGCAAACACTTATCCACTTGGCTATCCCTTCTCTTAATTTGACAATAGATACATTAGGGAGCATCGTTTCTCCGACCGTTCAGTGCATCATTACAAGTATTGATCGATAGGTCATGTATCGATACGAGACAGGTGTACACCAAACACCATCCGTGGTACATTCTGATGATGAATGACAAATTTACGCAAAATTCAGAAATATTCCATCTACATGTATATCATGGCGGCAGGTTTGTTTGTTTGTTGTTTAACGCCGCACTCAGCAATATTCCAGCTGTATGACGGCGGTCTGTAATCAATCGAGTCTGGACCAGACAATCCAGTGATTGACATCATGAGCATCGATCCACGTAACTGGGATACGATTACATGCATCAACCAGGTCAGCGAGCCTGACCACCCGATCCCGTTAGTCGCCTCTTTCGACAAGCATAGTCGCCTTTTACAGCAAGCATGGGTTGCTGAAGACCTATTCTACCCCGATCTTCACGGAGCCAAATGACTTGAGATACAGGGTACATTCTGTGTCTTGCAAATCTAGTAGAGTCGTAAGCGTGTGAAGCCCATTTTTGGTTTTCCCCGCCGTGATATTGCTTGAATATTGCTAAAAGCGGCGTAAAACCATACTCACTCACTCACTTGACGCGTTACACTTGTCACTTTGAGAAGTTTCCTCGATGTTGATACCCCAATTATCAGGATTTTCTTACCAGCCACTCACGAAATTGCCCTAATTTGTGTGGCATTAGCAGTAAATGGCTCAGTTTCCGACACAATCCAATCTATAAGTGCCTTTGATGGCTGCATGGTTCACTTATCAACTACGGTTTGAAAAACGATAAAATCACAATTTCCTTTTAACACTTTTTGTTGGCCATTATGTACTTAAATTGGATTCTTGTGTTGTAATAGATTTCAATACTTTGGAGTCACGCAACACGTCACTTGTAAAAATACCTGGCCTAAAATGGAGGTCCCATCAACCCGTCAAACACAAATATACATTTACTTAAGAAAGTTGTTTGTTCAACGTGCACATATGGCTGTATCGTGTTTCTAGATGTTTGATGACAATTAACTCACTGTCAATAATATAAGCATATCCCTCCCGCTGCTTAATATTCAACCAAAACATATCCACAAAAGTGAGTTCAACAAAACATTTCGGCAAAGGTTTTGGATAATGTAATATGGTCTCAGGTAATGTGAAGGACAAGTCAATGACAATGGTAATGTGAGTCTTAGGACATGTATTCACGAAGAATCTATTTATATGACTGAATGAATTCATCCATGCATGAAATGCTATAGGAAAAGTGGAGCGCACATTCAAACTACGTTAATAAAAGTGAGTAGGGTATTGCAAGGATATACTCTATGCCCTATGCTATTTTATGATCATCGTCGCATGGTGGCTATCCGGTGGATTGGGTCAATGTAAAACGAAATAACCAGTTGAAATAATATATTATAAAATATATATTTCCATAACTACAAATATGATATATGAATTTGTAAACTATATGACACCTGATGTATTTCTTCATATAAAAGGTGACTATGCTTGTCGTAAGAGGCGACTAGCGGGATCGGGTGGTCAGGCTCGCTGACTTGGTTGATGCATGTCATCGTATTCAAATTGAGCGGATCGATGTCCATGATGTCAATCACTGGATTGTATGGTCCAGGCTCAATTATTTACAGACCGCCGTCATATAGCTGGAATATTGCTCTGAGTGCTGGGCAACAAACAAACAAATATTTCTTCATAGATCATATTCATGTATAAAGCTAAAAGAATATTTATGAAACTTGTTGTAAACTTTATTGTCTGTTCATAATATATTTTCTCAACTTTTGACAATAAATTTGAAACTTTGTATGTCACGATTTATGAGCAATTAGCCTGTAACTTGTAAACAGATGGTAAATCAATTTAGATTTTTCTGAAGAAATGGAAAAGTGATAAAAATCCAATAGTCATTGCTGACCAAACAAAACAGGCCCACACCAATAACAAATCACCAGAATGTTGTTTTGCAAATCCGAAATCTATAAAGAAAAAGACTTTCATAGTCCTTTTGATAATCTTACAATGGAAATGCACCCAGAAACTAGCGAGCTCAGCGACAACCCAACACCCCTCCGGGCTAACCCATTCGCGTTTGCCTTGAGTAAACATTTCAGGTCAGCGGAACTAGCTATTATGTCAAAAAGGGTAACCGGCTTCTCTCAAAGTAAATACCGGGCTATTCAAATTCGGAAAGTAGAACAAGCAGAAAAAAGATATAAGTCGATGTAGTTTTCATCCATTTTCACTGATATCATGCGTAAACCTAATGTTCCCACAAATATTAACTCATAACATTACAAAATAACATGTCGTCTGCCTCCAATCGTCTGCTACAGCGTTTGAAACGATCAAAACAAACAACCAACCGCGCTTTGTCTTATCGACATGCGCGGGAAAAAGAGCATGGCTATCTAAAATTGTTTAATGTAATCAAGTCAGATTAACGCAACCTGGTAGATTTAAGAGAGTGTTGAAATGTCCTAAATTTTAAAATAAAACGCTCGACTGCCTCTGGGCTGAAGTGGAACAGAACACGCGAGGCGGCTGATTCGAAGTCAGCAGCCGTTACAAGGGAAAACTCGTCTGTTATTTGTTCGTTTGAGAATTTCCTTATCCAAGCTATATTAAAACATGAAGGTTTATCTAATGAATATAAGAACTTACCTCTCTCGGAGTTGAATTTGACCGGAATGAAGTACTTTCCTCAATTCTACTTCTCGGAGAGAGTTGAGACGAGTCGCGATCACATGGGGGGACAAAAATAGTACAGGGATTCCCTTCAGTGACGGGCTTTGTTGTGAGCAGCGTCGGTCACGTGATACGGGACACCGGTTCCCGCATCAAGAATCAATACACGAAAACACGCGATGATTTGAAAATTGAAATAGAAACACGTGTCTAAGGGGAGTGTGTGTGTGTGTGTGTGTGTGTGTGTGTGTGGGGGGGGGGGGGGGGGGGGGGGGGGAATTTAAGTACCATGGGGTTAATATGCCGCATCATTTCCTCGAACTCGTGTAGTAATTATTAATATGCAGTGCCATTATATTTTAATCATGTGCTATATGAGAACGCACGTGTTTACCGATTTTGACATGTTAATATATGTTAACGACTAGTATGAATTGTCTACTTACGTCGATCACCTTTCCCAAGAAATGGAAAGCACTAAGTTCCCTCTGGTTACTGAACATGTTGATAAATTTGTACATGACAAAGTAGGAATGGTCTGTTTGTACATGCTTGGTTTTTCTTTCCCCAAGAATTAGAAGGGACCCAAGGTCACTTCCACCGTTTAGTGGGGTATGAGTGAATGGTAACTATATGCCATTATGATAAATTTGTACATGACAAAGAATGAATGACCCGCCTGCATTTGTTTTGTTCCTTTTCCGGGGATTGGAAGGGACCAAAGGAAAATCACCGTTTACTGGGAGACTGCTAGACTAACATATAGTCTCTGAAATGAACATATCGTACAGAAAAAAACAGTTGTTCAGTTATCTTAATAAAAATCTAATAAAAAGGGAGCCCAGTGATTCTCTTCATTTTCAGCAGTAATCTAGACTTGCCAAACATTATAGACTTGCATGGGCTGTAGTTGATATAAATGTATCAGGGTCTGTAAGACAGACTAGGAGACTGGTGACTGTGCCATTTTGATAATTTTGTTCATGACCAATATGAATGGTCTGCTTATGTCGACCCTCTTCCCTAAGAAATGCTGTGTCTACGTTGTTCTTTCTGGTGTATGTTTGGTCCTGCCTGTACATTTTACTTAGAATTGGAAATTGAACGTCTACCTGGAGAGGGCAGGGGGGACTTTGACACATATTACGGCCCTCAATAGCAGAAATGGTCTCTCTCTCATCATGAACATCGATCCACGTAATTGGTATACGACTCTCTCTCTCTCTCTCTCTCTCTCTCTCTCTCTCTCTCTCTCTCTCTCTCTCTCTCTCTCTCTCTGGGAAAGTTCAAAGTGACGCAGGTCACAGATGGTTACGAAGTTAAAGGGGACAATGCAGTCAGACAAGGATCATAATCAAAGCGGGACAAAGTCCTTTGTTATATAGCCGGGCGTTAGCCAGACGTATTTTGGTACAATATTAACGCTGCCGGGGATCGAACCCCCGACCTCCCGCTCTCCGGGCAGAGGCTCTATTCACTACACGAAGGTGTCGATATCCGTAAATGTATATAACAGTTATAAACAGAAGGTATTATTTTAAGTACAGGGCGGTCGGGTAGCCTAGTGGTTAAAGCGTTCGCTCGTCACGCCGAACACCCGGGTTCGATTTCCGACATGGGTACAATGTGTGAAGCCCATTTCTGGTGTCCCCCGCCGTGATATTGCTGGAATATTGCTAAAGGCGGCGTAAAACCATACTCACTCACTTACTTAAGTGTAAATTTAAGCTTGTTCCCTTACACATTCACTTTCGCGAATAAAATATGCTCAAGCTATAAATACTGGGTTTCAGTTTTTACTGTAACATTTATGGAGTATATAGATTGAGTGAGAATAGTTTTACACCCCTTTGGGCAATATCACGGCGGGGACATCGGGAATGAGTGTCGCACACTGTATCCATGTCGGAATTCGAATCTGGGTCTTGGCGTGAAGCGCGACCGATTAAGCTACTGGGCTACCCTACCGCCCCTGCAAATACTGATGTGTATTTCAGTCTCCACATATTGTGCCGGTATATATATCCACATTTTTCATTAAAGAATTTAATCTTGTCGTGAAGATCCGGAGTAGAATAGGACCTCAGCAACCATGCTTGCCGTGAAATTCGACCATGCTTGCCGTAAAAGGCGACCATACTTGTTAGAGGCGACTAACGGGATCGGCTGGCCAGTTTCACTGCACTGGTTGATGCATGTCATCATATCTCAGTTGCGTGTATCGATGCTCATTTATATCATGATATTGCTTAGTGCGGCGTAAAACAACAAACACACAAATCATATCGTACCTTAATCGATCTCGTAATGTTGACAAGTTGACTCTCAGAGACTTTAATACTATATAAAATATGTGTCGGATGCTAAGGGGTATGGGGTTGGGGGGGGGGGGGGGGGGGAGGTATTTAAGTACCATGGGGTTAATATGCCACATCATTTCCTCGAACTCGTGTAGTTATTATTAATATGCAGTGCCATTTTATTTTAAACATGTGCTATATGAGGATGCATGTGTTTACCGGTTTTGACATGTTAATATATGTTCATGACTAGTATGAATTGTCTACTTACGTCGATCACCTTTCCCAAGAAATGGAAAGCACTAAGTTCCTTCTGGTAACTGAACATGACAAAGTAGGAATGGTCTGTTTGTACATGCTTGGTTTTTCTTTTCCCAAGAATTAGAAGGGACCCAAGGTCACTTCCACCGTTTAGTGGGGTAGGAGTGAAAGGTAACTATATGCTATTGTGATAAATTTGTACATGACAAAGAATGAATGACCCGCCTGCATATGTTTTGTTCCTTTTCCGGGGATTGGAAGGGACCAAAGGAAAATCACCGTTTACTGGGAGACTGGTGACTGTGCCATGTTGATAATTTTGTTCATGACCAATATGAATGGTCTGCTTTTGTCGACCCTCTTCCCTAAGAAATGCTGTGTCTACGTTGTTCTTTCTGGGGTATGTTTGGTCCTGCCTGAACATTTTCCTAAGAATTGGAAGGGAGCAAAACTTTTACTGGGACAGGGGAGGGGGGACTTTAATACATTGTACGGCCCTCAATCTAAGAAAATCTCTCACTCTCTCTCTGGTGTCCCCCGCCGTGATATTGCTGGAATATTGCTAAAAGCGGCGTAAAACCATACTCACTCACTTACTTAAGTGTAAATTTAAGCTTGTTCCCTTACACATTCACTTTCGCGAATAAAATATGCTCAAGCTATAAATACTGGGTTTCAGTTTTTACTGTAACATTTATGGAGTATATAGATTGAGTGTGAATAGTTTTACGTCCCTTTGGGCAATATCACGGCGGGGACATCGGAAATGAGTTTCGCACACTGTTTCCATGTCGGAATTCGAATCTGGGTCTTGGCGTGAAGCGCGACCGATTAAGCTTCTGGGCTACCCCAACGCCCCTGTAAATACTGATGTGTATTTCAGTCTCCACATTTTGTGCCCGTATATATATATATCCACATTTTTCATTAAAGAATTTAATCTTGTGAAGATCCGAGTAGAATAGGACTTCAGCAACCATGCTTGCCGTGAAATTCGACCATGCTTGCCGTGAAAGGCGACCATACTTGTTAGAGGCGACTAACGGGATCGGCTGGCCAGTTTCACTGACCTGGCTGATGCATGTCATCATATCCCAATTGCTGGTTCGATACTCATGATGCTGAGTGCGGCGTAAAACAACAAACACAAAAATCATATCGTACCTTAATTGATCTCGTAATGTTGACAAGTTGACTCTCAGAGACTTTAATACTGCACATAATTTGTGTCGGATGCTAAGGGGTATGGGGTTTGCGGGGGGGGGGGGGGGAGAGATGGGGGGGTGGGGGGGGTCACGCCGATTTTAGAAATATTCTAGCAATATCACATTCTCGATATCTCTTGGGAAACGTGTAGGCACCTCTCATACTCTGTCAGGTACGAATATTTCAACGTGTCCAATTATCAGAAGGATCGGATCCTGACATTTGGCGTGACGTGCATAGCTTCCCCACCGCCCAATCATTCACAGAGACGAGTTACTACGCTTAACTAGAAAACATGAATGAAATGCGTATTAGCATGTATATAGGGTACACCTATCAATATACATGCTACACATGACACTTGCAGCCATGGCGACACACGAGTGACATTTAGTGTTGTTCATTTCAACAACTGTGTTTACTCACAATGGAATATTGTGTCACGAGTGACTGCCGACTGACATTTGAGCCTCGCTAGGTACGTGATATGAATGATGTTCATATGATATATCAGTGGGGGATCATATGATCTGACGTATGTCGCGGGAAAGGTGGCAGAGGGATCGACAACTTTATAATGAAGAGTAAACATATACAGTATGATGTAGACAAGCCACAATCCGACCTTGTTACGTGATGACATCGCTGAGTGTATGAGGTGAACATACTACTGTACATGTGTAGGATGATATTGTTTAAAATGCGTTCATGTATATAGGTGTGATATACACTGGGAATACCAGTCTCGAGTGTCCGCGGAAACAGCTTTCATTGGGCGTAAAAGACAAAATAGCGGTGAAAATTATATGAATTGATCACTGAAAATTATATGAATGGATCACTGAAAATTATATGAATGGATCACTGAAAATTATATGAATGGATCACTGAAAATTATATGAATGGATCACTGAAAATTATATGAACGGATCACCGAAAATTATATGAATAGATCACTGAAAAGTTTTAAAATACTTTCATGAAGGTGTGATTTTCACTGGGTATACCAGTCTCGATTATCCACCGAAACAGCTTTCATTGGGCGTAAAAGACAAAATAGCAGTGAAAATATATGAATGGATCACTGAAAATTATATGAATGGATCACTGAAAATTATATGACTGGATCACTGAAAATTATATGAATGGATCACTGAAAATCATATGAATGGATCACTCTCAAATTATGACACGAGGTGGCAAGTGGACACCGTGTGTCTGCACCTGTCTTGTCGGATTGAGCGAGATGTTTACAAACAGGTATACGGCACTGTTAAAATGTTAAGATATTTAATCTGGAACCCTCGTTGCAATTATTGATGTGAAATTCTGTCTTTCGGTT